CGGAGCATGATGTCGACGATGACAGCAAGAAGGTCAAGGAGTGGTGGGGACGACCGGGATGGGGACATCGCTGGGGAGGCTATGGATGGGGGCGTCCCTGGGGTGGTTACGGTGGTGGCTGGGGTGGATACGGTGGCGGCTGGGGATGGTAGACGTCACACATCAACGACACCATCGACACGCTTGCAACCTGCCGCACTCTCACACGGACGGGACAGAACAAGGCGACTGCAATGTAGCCAATCAAATGGAAATCGCCATGCTCATTCAGCCTCGCTTTGTTCTCTAACGCTCTGAGTTCGTCCAATGTTGTTCTGGTCGCCACATTGGTTCAACATATCGCGTCAATGAAACACATGCTCGACTACCTATTGTGTTGAGTGCAACGGCTCGATGCAAGCTTGGCGCTGCATACTTCCGAGATGTTGCAGCACGTCGTAGTCAGCCTTCCCCCTCATTACGATAAGATACACACGTTCAGATCAACTCGCCTCGATCAATTGGCCTCGATCAAATCTTCTGAGTCACACGTTCCGACCCGCTTGTTCGTATTGACACGTTCGCTCTTACTGATATTGACTTGCTCCAACTGATATTGACTTGCTCCATTCGATCGCTCCATTTCTGCTGAGTGATTGCCATACTTTCTTGTAGTTGTAAACCAAGCGCTATGAATTGCCGTACCCTTTGCAATATCCCAAAGCAGACGCTTGCCTTCCACTTCATTTCCACCAAACATGCATTGAGAGTATCGACAGACGTCAACACGTCATCGGTATCGGTCGCCAGGTTGAAGCTGGTGTTGAACACTACGACAAGGTTGAACACTACGACAAGGTCATCAGCTCTGGCCACAGCGTCGATATGGATGTAGACACAGTACAACACGACTCCCGATGCAAACCAGGAAACAAACACTGACATCGGCCTCCATCGTACTGTTCGTGGCCAACTCGTAGCATGCACCACGAATCGATGAGTATCGGAACCAGCCAGGAATCAGCTACCACATTCGCAAAGAAACGGAAAAACACAAACGTGACGCGAAAGATTGCCTTTCACGCTCGTGGCTGGAAACATGATCGAAACACGCGGGCCTTCCGACCATCAGCTTGATCAACTCAATCAACTGAAGCAGTCACCATGATGGTTCGTGACCATTTACCCGTCACAACACCAGCCCACTCGCGAGCTCGTCTACCGATCCCACTCACTCACTATCCAATTGACACTGCCAGTGCACCACGCAGCGAGGAAGTTATCAACTCGACCGACCGACCGACCGACCGATCAAGCGACAGACGAACTCGACCATGAAGATCACCGCTCTAGCCATCACTGCACTAGCCACCGTAGCAAGCGTCGCATCCGCTGACGACTACCAGCCGGCTCTCCGAGCACTTGCCGCACAGGAGCCAACTGCACCCATTGCCGACACACTTGCTTCCGACCCGACCAAGCAACAATCCTCTCCTCCTGTGGAGGCTGCTGCTGCAGCTGCCAACACGGAGCATGATGTCGACGATGACAGCAAGAAGGCCAAGGAGTGGTGGGGACGACCGGGATGGGGACATCGCTGGGGAGGCTATGGATGGGGGCGTCCCTGGGGTGGTTACGGTGGTGGCTGGGGTGGATACGGTGGCGGCTGGGGATGGTAGACGTCACACATCAACGACACCATCGACACGCTTGCAACCTGCCGCACTCTCACACGGACGGGACAGAACAAGGCGACTGCAATGTAGCCAATCAAATGGAAATCGGCATGCTCATTCAGCCTCGCTTTGTTCTCTAACGCTCTGAGTTCGTCCAATGTTGTTCTGGTCGCCACATTGGTTCAGCATATCGCGTCAATGAAACACATGCTCGACTACCTTTTTGTGTTGAGTGCAACGGCTCGATGCAAGCTTGGCGCTGCATACTTCCGAGATGTTGCAGCACGTCGTAGTCAGCCTTCCCCATCATTACGATAAGATACACACGTTCAGATCAACTCGCCTCGATCAAATGGCCTCGACCAAATCTTCTGATTCACACGTTCCGACCCGCTTGTTCGTATTGACACGTTCGCTCCTACTGATAGTGACTTGCTCCAACTGATAGTGACTTGCTCCATTCGATCGCTCCATTTCTGCTGAGTGATTGCCATACTTTCTTGTAGTTGTAAACCAAGCGCTATGAATTGCCGTACCCTTTGAAATATCCCAAAGCAGACGCTTGCATTCCACTTCATTTCCACCAAACATGCTTTGAGAGTATCGACAGACGTCAACACTGTCATCGACATCGGTCGCCAGGTTGAAGCTAGTGTTGAACACTACGACAAGGTTGAACACTACGACAAGGTCACCAGCTCTGACCACTACGTCAATACGGAAGTAGACACAGTACAACACGACTCCCGATGCAAATCAAGAAACAAACACTGACACCGACCTCCATCGTACTGTTCGTGGCCACCTCGTAGCATGCACCACGAATCGATGAGTATCGGAACCAGCCAGGAATCAGCTACCACATTCGCAAAGAAACGGACAAACACAAACGTGACTCAAAGATGCCTTTCACGCTCGTGGCTGGAAACATGATCGAAACACGCGGGCCTTCCAACTATCAGCTTGATCAACTCAATCAACTGAAGCAGTCACCATGACGGTTCGTGACCATTTACCCGTCACAACACCAGCCCACTCGTGAGCTCGTCTACCGATCCCACTCACTCACTATCCAATTGACACTGCCAGTGCACCACGCAGCAAGGAAGTTATCGACTCGACCGACCGACCGACCGACCGATCAAGCGACAGACGAACTCGACCATGAAGATCACCGCTCTCGCCATCACTGCGCTAGCCACCGTAGCAAGCGTCGCATCCGCTGACGACTACCAGCCGGCTCTCCGAGCACTTGCCGCACAGGAGCCAACTGCACCCATTGCCGACACACTTGCTTCCGACCCGACCAAGCAACAATCCTCTTCTCCTGTGGAGGCTGCTGCTGCAGCTGCCAACACGGAGCATGATGTCGATGATGACAGCAAGAAGGCCAAGGAGTGGTGGGAACGACCGGGATGGGGACATCGCTGGGGAGGCTATGGATGGGGGCGTCCCTGGGGTGGCTACGGTGGTGGCTGGGGTGGATACGGTGGCGGCTGGGGATGGTAGACGTCACACATCAACGACACCATCGACACGCTTGCAACCTGCCGCACTCTCACACGGACGGGACAGAACAAGGCGACTGCAATGTAGCCAATCAAATGGAAATCGGCATGCTCATTCAGCCTCGCTTTGTTCTCCAACGCTCTGAGTTCGTCCAATGTTGTTCTGGTCGCCACATTGGTTCAGCATATCGCGTCAATGAAACACATGCTCGACTACCTTTTGTGTTGAGTGCAACGGCTCGATGCAAGCTTGGCGCTGCATACTTCCGAGATGTTGCAGCACGTCGTAGTCAGCCTTCCCCATCATTACGATAAGATACACACGTTCAGATCAACTCGCCTCGATCAAATGGCCTCGACCAAATCTTCTGATTCACACGTTCCGACCCGCTTGTTCGTATTGACACGTTCGCTCCTACTGATAGTGACTTGCTCCAACTGATAGTGACTTGCTCCATTCGATCGCTCCATTTCTGCTGAGTGATTGCCATACTTTCTTGTTGTCGTAAACCAAGCGCTATGAATTGCCGTGCCCTTTGCAATATCCCAAAGCAGACGCTTGCATTCCACTTCATTTCCACCAAACATGCTTTGAGAGTATCGACAGACGTCAACACTGTCATCGACATCGGTCGCCAGGTTGAAGCTAGTGTTGAACACTACGACAAGGTTGAACACTACGACAAGGTCACCAGCTCTGACCACTACGTCAATACGGAAGTAGACACAGTACAACACGACTCCCGATGCAAATCAAGAAACAAACACTGACACCGACCTCCATCGTACTGTTCGTGGCCACCTCGTAGCATGCACCACGAATCGATGAGTATCGGAACCAGCCAAGAATCAGCTACCACATTCGCAAAGAAACGGACAAACACAAACGTGACGCGAAATTGCCTTTCACGCTCGTGGCTGGAAACACGATCAAAACACGCGGGCCTTCCGACCATCAGCTTAAACAACTCAATCAACTGAAGCAGTCACCATGATGGTTCGTGACCATTTATTCGTCACAACACCAGCCCACCCGCGAGCTCGTACATCGATCGCACTCACAAGCCAACTGGCACTACCACACCAACACCTAGCGAGCAAGTACCCGATCGACCGACCAAATCGACCATGAAGTGCACTGCTCTCGCCGTCACCGCGCTAGTTGCAGTAGCAAGCGTCGCCTCAGCTACTGACTACCAGCCGGCGCTCCGAGCCCTTGCTGCATCGGAACCAGCTACACCCAGCACTGACACGATGGCAGCGGGTCCTACCGAGCGACATTCGCATCGTGTTGAGGCTGCTGCTGATGTAGCTGCGGAAAACGAGTCTACTGCCGTCATCGGTGCGGAAGGCAAGAAGTCCAAGGAGTGGTGGGGAGGCTTGGGATGGGGACGTCCCTGGGGTGGCTTCGGGGGATGGGGTGGCTACGGTGGTGGATGGGGAGGATACGGTGGCGGATGGGGATGGTAGACCTCACACAAACTGGACATTGCGCCGACTGACATGCTATAGCGCATGCAGACGGGCTCACGAACGAGACGACACGGAAGCCGAGCAAGAAGAAAAATCTGCGTGCACCGCCGGACTCGCTCTTGTTTGTGAGGCTGTTTGCCGCTATTTTTTGTCATCACTTGGCTCAGCATGTCAACCTGTCGACGGAAGGATCGACCACCTGTACTTTCGGTGCTGTAGGTTAGTTAAAGCTCGCCAATATAGATACTGTCGAGGCTTTGCAGCCAGTTGTCAGTCAGCCACCTCGCTAAGATCAACACGTTCTTCCAGCAGCACGTTCAGATCAGATCATCTTGTCACGACCAATGTCTTTGTATCTGCATGTTCACATCGACACGAACATGTCGACTCGTTCAGGCGGACACGTTTTATCTTCGCGCGAGGAGCATGCTCCGTCCAGTCTCTCCTTCTGTGTCATCGATGCCGAAAAGTGTCAATGTCCATCTCAAACAAACGCACTGGTATTCATACCACTTGCACAAACTGTCATCGCAAGGGCCCTCCTTGCATTCATTGTCGAGCCACCAAACATAGACGACGTCCACACACAACTCAGCAGCCACCTGGTTTGGTCACCACGTCGATGTTGATGTCGACGGACATAACGCAGTCATCGACGTCGGTCACCAACATTGATCACCAGCCAGAGATACACACGCCTCCACCGTTCTACTTATGGACCTCCACCGTTCTACTTATGGTTGTCTTCTAGCAGGTACTTCCGATTCATGAGCGACGGAACCGGACTACCACCCTCTGCGACCTTCTTCGACGACGATCAACCGTCCATCCTGTCGACAAAACTACTGTGGAATTCAAACCTCGCTCGAAGTTCTATTCCACGCTCGTGACTGGAAACGCGATCGAGACGCGCCGACTTTTCAACCATCTACTCGATTTGCAATCAATCAACTCAATCGATTGAAGCAGTCACCATGACGCTACGTGACGAGTCACTCGTCGCAACACCAGCCCACTCGATAGCTCGTACATCGATCGCACTCACAAACCAACTGGCACTACCACACCAACACCTAGCGAGCAAGTACTCGACCAGCCGACCAAATCGACCATGAAGTGCACTGCTCTTGCCGTCACCGCGCTAGTTGCTGTAGCAAGCGTCGCCTCAGCTACTGACTACCAGCCGGCGCTCCGAGCCCTTGCTGCATCGGAACCAGCTACACCCAGCACTGACACGATGGCAGCGGGTCCTACCGAGCGACATTCGCATCGTGTTGAGGCTGCTGCTGATGTAGCTGCGGAAAACGAGCCTACTGCCGTCATCGGTGCGGAAGGCAAGAAGTCCAAGGAGTGGTGGGGAGGCTTGGGATGGGGACGTCCCTGGGGTGGCTTCGGGGATGGGGTGGCTACGGTGGTGGATGGGGAGGATACGGTGGCGGATGGGGATGGTAGACCTCACACATGCTGGACATCGCGCCGACTGACATGCTATAGCGCATGCAGACGGGCTCACGAACAAGACGACACGGAAGCCGAGCAAGAAGAAAAATCTGCGTGCACCGCCGGACTCGCTCTTGTTTGTGAGGCTGTTTGTCGCTATTTTTCGTCACCACTTGGTTCAGCATGTCAACCTGTCGACGGAAGAATCGACCACCTGTACTTTCGGTGCTGTAGGTTAGTTAAAGCTCGCCAATATAGATACTGTCGAGGCTTTGCAGCCAGTTGTCAGTCAGCCACCTCGCTAAGATCAACACGTTCTTCCAGCAGCACGTTCAGATCATCTTGTCACGACCAATGTCTTTGTATCTGCATGTTCACATCGACACGAACATGTCGACTCGTTCAGGCGGACACGTTTTATCTTCGCGCGAGGAGCATGCTCCGTCCAGTCTCTCCTTCTCTATGTCATCGATTGCCGAAAAGTGTCAATGTCCATCTCAAACAAACGCACTGGTATTCATACCACTTGCACAAACTGTCATCGCAAGGGCCCTCCTTGCATTCATTGTCGAGCCACCAAACATAGACGACGTCCACACACAACTCAGCAGCCACCTGGTTTGGTCACCACGTCGATGTTGATGTCGACGGACATAACGCAGTCATCGACGTCGGTCACCAACATTGATCACCAGCCAGAGATACACACGCCTCCACCGTTCTACTTATGGACCTCCACCGTTCTACTTATGGTTGTCTTCTAGCAGGTACTTCCGATTCATGAGCGACGGAACCGGACTACCACCCTCTGCGACCTTCTTCGACGACGATCAACCGTCCATCATGTCGACAAAACAACAGTGGAATTCAAACCTCGCTCGAAGTTCTATTCCACGCTCGTGACTGGAAACGCGATCGAGACGCGCCGACTTTTCAACCATCTACTCGATTTGCAATCAATCAACTCAATCAATTGAAGCAGTCACCATGACGCTACGTGACGAGTCACTGATCGCAACACCAGCCCACTCGCTAGCTCGTACATCGATCGCACTCATAAACCAACTGGCACTACCACACCAACACCTAGTGAGCAAGTACTCGACCAGCCGACCAAATCGACCATGAAGTGCACTGCTCTTGCCGTCACCGCGCTAGTTGCTGTAGCAAGCGTCACCTCAGCTACTGACTACCAGCCGGCGCTCCGAGCCCTTGCTGCATCGGAACCAGCTACACCCAGCACTGACACGATGGCAGCGGGTCCTACCGAGCGACATTCGCATCGTGTTGAGGCTGCTGCTGATGCCGCTGCGGAAAACGAACCTACTGCCGCCATCGATGCGGAAGGCAAGAAGTCCAAGGAGTGGTGGGGAGGCTTGGGATGGGGACGTCCCTGGGGTGGCTTCGGGGGATGGGGTGGCTACGGTGGTGGATGGGGAGGATACGGTGGCGGATGGGGATGGTAGACCTCACACATACTGGACATTGCGCCGACTGACATGCTATAGCGCATGCAGACGGGCTCACGAACGAGACGACACGGAAGCCGAGCAAGAAGAAAAATCTGCGTGCACCGCCGGACTCGCTCTTGTTTGTGAGGCTGTTTGCCGCTATTTTTCGTCATCACTTGGCTCAGCATGTCAACCTGTCGACGGAAGGATCGACCACCTGTACTTTCGGTGCTGTAGGTTAGTTAAAGCTCGCCAATACAGATACTGTCGAGGCTTTGCAGCCAGTTGTCAGTCAGCCACCTCGCTAAGATCAATACGTTCTTCCAGCAGCACGTTCAGATCAGATCATCTTGTCACGACCAATGTCTTTGTATCTGCATGTTCACATCGACACGAACATGTCGACTCGTTCCGACGGACACGTTTTATCTTCGCGCGAGTAGCATGCTCCGTCCAGTCTCTCCTTCTATGTCATCGATTGCCGAAAAGTGTCAATGTCCATCTCAAACAAACGCACTGGTATTCATACCACTTGCACAAACTGTCATCGCAAGGGCCCTCCTTGCATTCATTGTCAAGCCACCAAACATAGACGACGTCCACACACAACTCAGCAGCCACCTGGTTTGGTCACCACGTCGATGTTGATGTCGACGGACATAACGCAGTCATCGACGTCGGTCACCAACATTGATCACCAGCCAGAGATACACACGCCTCCACCGTTCTACTTATGGACCTCCACCGTTCTACTTATGGTTGTCTTCTAGCAGGTACCACCGATTCATGAGCGACGGAACCGGACTACCACCCTCCGCGACCTTCTTCGACGACCATCAACCGTCCATCATGTCGACAAAACTACAGTGGAATTCAAACCTCGCTCGAAGTTCTATTCCACGCTCGTGACTGGAAACGCGATCGAGACGCGCCGACTTTTCAACCATCTACTCGATTTGCAATCAATCAACTCAATCGATTGAAGCAGTCACCATGACGCTACGTGACGAGTCACTCGTCGCAACACCAGCCCACTCGCTAGCTCGTACATCGATCGCACTCACAAACCAACTGGCACTACCACACCAACACCTAGCGAGCAAGTACTCGACCAGCCGACCAAATCGACCATGAAGTGCACTGCTCTTGCCGTCACCGCGCTAGTTGCTGTAGCAAGCGTCACCTCAGCTACTGACTACCAGCCGGCGCTCCGATCCCTTGCTGCATTGGAACCAGCTACACCCAGCACTGACACGATGGCAGCGGGTCCTACCGAGCGACATTCGCATCCTGTTGAGGCTGCTGCTGATGTAGCTGCGGAAAACGAGCCTACTGCCGTCATCGGTGCGGAAGGCAAGAAGTCCAAGGAGTGGTGGGGAGGCTTGGGATGGGGACGTCCCTGGGGTGGCTTTGGGGGATGGGGTGGCTACGGTGGTGGATGGGGAGGATACGGTGGCGGATGGGGATGGTAGACCTCACACATACTGGACATTGCGCCGACTGACATGCTGCAGCGCATGCAGACGGGCTCACGAACGAGACGACACGGAAGCCGAGCAAGAAGAAAAATCTGCGTGCACCGCCGGACTCGCTCTTGTTTGTGAGGCTGTTTGTCGCTATTTTTCGTCACCACTTGGTTCAGCATGTCAACCTGTCGACGGAAGAATCGATCACCTGTACTTTCGGTGCTGTAGGTTAGTTAAAGCTCGCCAATATAGATACTGTCGAGGCTTTGCAGCCAGTTGTCAGTCAGCCACCTCGCTAAGATCAACACGTTCTTCCAGCAGCACGTTCAGATCAGATCATCTTGTCACGACCACTTCCAGATTTGCGGCCAATCACGCAATCAAATCGTTGTGGCACCGGGGAGTGTGTCAACGCAGTATGCACGCATACATCGGCGAATTAGCGCCTAGTAATAAGCCCTCGCCGACCCAAGAGCGCGGTGACTTCGAAAACGGCGAACATGTGGACGGAGGAACCGGGCACCGTACGCGAGTGGCATGGAGTGATGACGAGGTAGGTGGCTCGAGTGTGCCCACGCCCGTGTCGGGCGAGAGCGTGCCAATAGGAGTGGAAAAGACGGGGCAAGACGAGACGATAGGGGATGGGCACGGAAATTCTGACCAATCCCGAGCTTGGACAGGCGGCCTCGGCCCCCCAACTACTGCGCCTATTTGTGGGACCCGTACTGATCGGCGTTCGTACGCGGCCGCAGTGGCTGACTCCTTCCTTGACGGAGATAGTCAGTATCCAGTGGCTACAGAACGGGGTGCACAGGGGAAAGGACCGCGGGTCGGGTCCTCTCCTATCGCGGGAGCTTTTTCCTGTGACGTTGTGGCTCGATCTCGAAATCTCGGGTCGGCGTATGAGCCTCACTTGTTGGTGTCTGCGGGCTCGGGACCGGTGAGAGCTGCAACAGAGCAGGGAAGGGCCGACACGGTAGACGGGCAGGGTCCGGGACTTTTCGCTGACTCCAAAGAGGATGGGAGTCAGCGCTCATCTGCTGACCACACCCGGGTGCTGGTGCGGGCGGCTACGAGAGTGTGGACCGACAGATCAGACGATGATCTCCGTTCGATGATTCCGCTTGAAGAGGAGGCTCTAGCGGCATGGATGATGGGGGCTATCATGCTCCAGTCTCCGCCTGGATTTTTGGTGTGCACGCACCCGAGGGCTACGCGAGTTGTAATGCTTGATTTTTTCGAAGAGTACCTGGAAGGGAAGGTCATTGCGATTGTCCCTCCGTACGTGCGCATGCCTCAGTACATCGCCGAGAAAACGTTGCTACTCCAGCTCTTGGAACGCAGTGAGGGGAAGACGGAGTCCGATGTCATGAGTCGGGAATTGGTCAAGGGCGCCAAGCGGACCAGTTACGATGCCGAAACGAGGCGATTGACTTTCATTATGCTGGATCAAGCGGCAGCAGCAAGCTGGCATGCAAAGATGAATTTGATTCGCGGAAAGCGTCTTAAGCTGTTGTGCCCGGCCACTATGGAGCGCGAAGACATTACTGCTCCTTCGCTATTAGCCACGTCAAGCGGTAGACACCAATTGCAATACCAAGTCCGGATTTTGGTCAATGGAGTGGCGACAAGCACGGTCCAAGCTATATTGGCGTCTAGTGTGGCTTGTACGGTCACATCCGTGTCTCGTGGGTGCCCACTCGGCTCGGAGGCATATGATTCCAACTTTTTCGATGCAACTTTTGACATGGTGTCATGTCCCGAGCAACTCAAATTGGTCACGCACATCGCAACATCCGAAACGGAGATCTTTCTCCACCATTTTCGTCACTTTCAACGCGTTCCCTGTTTTTCCTGCTATTCGCCATATCACTCGAGTGCTAAGTGTGGTATACGCAAAGGCGCTTTTCAAATTCATCATCACCGAGAATTTACTGGTATTCCAATAGCTCCTCCTCACGTCAGTGGGTTGACTTTTAACCACTTGGACGTTGCCGGTTGCCTGCAGCATGTCTCTGGACTGGCGGATACTTTGGTGGCAACCACGGCTAAGTTAAAGGCTGATGGCAACAAGGCCCCACTGTTAAGTGAGGTCTCGCAGGTACCTCCTTGTGCTGGGCAGTTGTCAGTTCCGAACACGTCTCCGCTTGCCGGTGGACAGGCCGTTCGGGGCGGGGCTACTCGCGTCAGTGGTCCAATGACGAACGAGTGGTTCGATCCTGGAGCGAACAAGAAAAAGAGGGATGTGCGCCCCGCAGATGTTCCGGCTAGTCGGGCAACAGGACCTGCTGTGAAGCTACCCAAGCATCCGCAATTCAACAAAGATGGAGGTGCAAGAAAGTCACCACTCCCGAAGTCGAAGGCTGCTGCCCAAACTATTTCCACGAACACGGTCGCTGACAAAAAGAAACCACCTCAACAGACTAAGGCAACTGTTCGTCAAAAAGGGCAATCGAACACGGTCCATTCTTCGCCACCACCCTCCGCTTCTTCGAAGGCGGACACCCAGTGCACGCTGGCGATTCGGGAACTGGACCGCATATTGAGTGGTTCTCATGAGGAAGTTGCAGAACCTGCACCGATTGATCCGGGGGTCGATTCGGCGCTGCCTTCGACGAATTTAAAAGAGGCGACCCTTGAGGCCGTTCGATCGCAAGTAGCAACCGCACAAAAAACGGTCGAGGAACTTAATTTAGCAGCCGAAAAGAAGCAGCGCGCGGCAAACACCACGAAATCATGCTACTTTGCGGCTCACGCTCAAGCACTCGAAGTGGCTATTGCTACTGAGAAGACGAGTAATAGAGAACCTACTTCTCCCGAAGAAGTCAGTGAGGAATTGCTGAGGATGGAGTACGAATACCGCACCGCAGGTGCGACGGCGAACCGAGCGAATGCGGATGCAACGATAGCAGCGAAAACCCTCGAAACACTGACACGTCGGTTGGCAAAGATTACACCGAAACCGAAGCCTGTGACCGAAGATACGGCCCCGCAAGATGATACACTACCGCGCGAGATGCCTACGGAGATGGCAGCAAGAAGTAGAGAGCGGAGTCGGTCCATGATACAACGCTTGTTGGCTTCGTATGTGCGCCGCAAACGGGGTGTACCAAGTGAGCCGATCGATAAACCTCTTGGTACGGTACCTACCGCGAAGGCGCCTCGTGATCCGGGTCCACCGGATCTACCGCCGATGTGCCCCCAGAATCGGACGGGCAGCGTCCCCAAGATCTCGATGTTACTATGGCGGAGAGCACGGTTACGTTCGGGAACACTATGTGCTTGAATGATTTAAATGGAGGGGCAGTTACTCCGCCTCCCTGTGCCGCTAGTGTACCTATTCCAGCGGATCTAGCCAAGGCAATTGAGGAAGAGCTTAAGGCCTCGTCTGGAGTTATCGACGTTTCCGACACGGGTGCCTCTAGTTTATTAACACGTCCTACCGCTAGCATGGGTGGTCTCTGTACGCAGGTAGCGGTCCGGTCCCCGATGGAACAATGTCGCGCTCCCGATCCTCACGATCAGACTTTACGCGCAACAAGGATTCGCAAAATTCCAGATAGCGCATCTGCTGCGGTGGCGGCTGCTGCAGTGCCGGAGAGCATGAAACAAATTTCATTGAACACAGCGGCGATTCGCAAATGGGTTAGCCTGCACAAAGCGATGGCTGCACTACCGACTACAATGCCAGTTGGACCTAAGGGACAAATGGCCTGGATAAACGCGTGCTCCTTGGACTTGGCGGGACTCGTCTGTGGACTACCTTATCCTGTTGCTTACCTTGCCTCGATGTCGGGTGAAACCCTACGGTCTTTTGGACATTCCATCAACAGTGAATCTCAACTGGCTGTAATTCGGCGACACACCACACACGCAGATGAAGAACTTCGCGAGCTGTGCAAGGGTTGGGCCGCCACGGCAGACGCGCAAACCGGTCATATTCGATGGAGAACGACGGGCAATATACAACGCTGGAGACGCTTTAGTAAGCTACAGCCCGGTTTGCTGTGCGCGACTGTCGTCGAACCGCTTTCTGACTTGGATCAGTGGGGAGTCCTCAATGTTCTGTGTTTATTGCTCCCGAAGCTCGCACCAATTGAGGTTAAGACGAACTTGGTAATGCCGCAAACCAAGGCTGTACTATATCACCTCTCCAAAGAGGTGCGCGCGGCGGTGATTAGCATTATATGCACACCTGCCAACTGGCAGCCGGCCCTTGACCTTATCGCTAAAGATGGTCAACTGCTGGACTCTAGGTGCTGAGGGCGTCTCGGCTGAGCTAGAAGATGCATCGTCGCGGCACATGCCACAACGTCGTCAAAGACGCCTTTTTAAGACCTCATGTATTCCACGCGACAACAGCATAGGTATCCATTCGCAGAATGTCGCGGGGTTTCCCAAGAATCCGGAACATTGCGCAACTTGGTTCAGCCACTTCCGACAGAGCGAAGCCAGGGGAATCATCGATTTAGTCCTTTTACAGGAAACGCGGGTCACTTTAGGTGAGGCAGCTCCTCTGGACAAGCTTTACAACTCCTCCTGGGGATTCGTGCACAAACTCGGACGCTCGTTGTGGACCGAGTCCGAGTTCTCTCGTGGAGGTGTGGCTATTTTATTAAACCCATACTCAACAATTACGGAAATGGTTCCGTGGTATGAGGATCAATGGACACAGCATTGGATGGCTGTCCGGGTCTGTCTAATGGGCGAAACAGTTCTTGTTGTAAACGTTTACGCCCCAAGTACCAAGACTGAAAGAGAGGCGCTGTTCTCGAGCCTTTCACTTATTCTTCAGGGATACGAAGGACCCATGTTTGTTGGAGGGGACTTCAACTGTACTTTGGAGCCGCGACTTGACCGTTCTTTTGTCTCGCCGCCAGGAAGACATGATTCCTTGGCGCTTCGGCGGCTTCTCGGCCGAGTGCAGCTTAGCGATGTTCTTGATGGTGATCTGGAGATGGCCGAAGACGAAAGAGATGTACCGGCGTTTCATGCGGCCTCTCACACTTATTTCTACACTCTTCCGGGCGGTGGATTGGCTAGTTCCCGACTGGATCGGTGGTATGTGAGCTCTCGCCATGCTGATTGGATTCGTGGCGTTGCTTTTTCAGTTCCTGGTCCAGCAGCTGACCACAATGGCATCAGTATCAGGATTGGAGTGCCGCGTTATGTGGTCCGTGTACGTAAGCCGAGGCACGTGTACCCTGTTCCGGGTTGTGCAAACACAGCCGCGCATAAAGCAATTGTTGCGGCCATTAAGCTGGCACAGCTTAAAGCGGACTAGACTCTTTCTGTTCCGCCGTCGGACTATATCACGGCCCGTAGATTGGCCGACTGGTGGGATGAATGGAAGATCAGGCTTCGCAAAGTTCTTTTGGCAACGACCAAGACCGCGCGTCAAGGTATGATAACAAGCTATCGGCAGCGGCTACGTCGGCTCTATGTAAGACTGGACGCAGCTCTATTAGTGGCGCGTACACTTGATAACTCACCACCAGGAGCTCATAAGGACTGCAACAAGCCTAGCACCACCGATACTCCGGTTGGACTGCGGCGTAATGTTGCGGAGTGTCGACGCTTATGGCAGAGATCCAAAAAAGAGCGCCTTCTTGTTCAACACACGTATATTCCTGGAGAAACATCTCGACGTTTTTTCGCCCGGGTGGCGACTAAATTTCAAGACAACACCATTGTTTCTTTGGGCGGAAAGGCTGCATACGGGCCAAATCATTCTCAAGAGCTGGCTGATGAAATGGCGGATGGCTAGGAGCGTATTATGACTCATTCCTTTGCCTGTCCCGACGCTACCGCTACTTTTCTTTCCCGGGCAGTCCCGCCAGGACCAGTTGATGACACTACTGTGATGTCGGCCGTTTCCCCCGATGACGTGAGTGCGGCTTTAAAGAGGCTGAAACGTGGGAAAGCCGCGGGACCGGACGAAATTAACAACACATTTTACAGAGATTAAGCGGAAGCGCTCAGTCCAGTACTCGCTACATTCTACACCAGATGGCTTACGTGCAGCGTGTTCCCGTCTTCCTTCGGTGAAGCGAACATTCAGTGTTTGAAGAAATCTGCGTCCTCCGCCTTGCCGCTCGATCATCGCCCGATTGCTCTCCTCAACAGCGACTACAAGTTATTTACCAAGATTCTTTCGTTTCGGGCACGGCCATTATTGTCGCATCTCGTTTTGCCGGCTCAAGTTGGTTTTGTTCCAAAGAGGTCGATCCATACAGCTCTTGACATTTTCGCGACGGTACGCAAAGCTGCGACTTTGGACAGCAGCCTACATGGAGCCATTGTGCTACTTCTCGATTTTGCCAAGGCTTACGACACGTTGCAACGTCCATATCTGCTTTCCTCTCTGACATGGCTTGGGTTTTCGCCTCATTTCGTATCAGTCGTGGCAGCATTACACCACGACACTACCTGCCGATTTCTTGTGAATGGATACCGCTCTCGTCGACGTGACGTTACTTGTGGAATACGGCAAGGATGTCCCCTTGCGCCACTTCTCTTTATTTTAGCCCTCGATAGTGTCTATCGGGTGCTACAAGCGAGGGAGGACATTCGGGGGGTGCCTATCTCCATTGGAGGGCGGGCTACAGAGTTTAAAGTATCGGGATACGCTGACGATACTGCTGTCTACCTTCGCGATCGGTCCTCGGTTACGCCTGTTGTAGCTATTCTAGAGGAATTTGCTCATGTGTCGGGTCTCCAGACGAATCGGTCGAAATCAATGATCATTGAGCTGGACCCTCGCGGATCAGAGCAACCTTTTAGCACCTGTGGTCTCACTCTGCAGGCCCCTAGTGACTCTTGCAGGTATCTTGGTGTATTGGTGGGACAACAGGACGCGGTGGCCGATAACTGGAATAAGTGCATACGTTCTATATGGAGCCGACTTGTCTTAGCCCGCGAGAAGACGCACACAGTGGAACAACGTGCTCTGCTAGCAAGTGCTATCGCGGTGCCCAAAATTAACTTCTTAGCACGGCACTGTTGGTCTCCTCCCGCAGTGGTTACCCGGTTGCACAGCTTAATAATGGACTTTGTATGGGGTGTCCGAGATAGAAAGCGATCCAGACCCTGGGTATCTTCCGAGATAGCGGCCTTACCTATCCAGCAGAGAGGACTAGCGGTTCCCTGTATTCGGACGGAATTGATGACGATGGCGGCAACAGCAGTTGGACAATGGGCTGCTACTGTCTCTTCGAGAGACTTACTAATTGGTGACTTCTTATGGGGATCTACCGGGTCGGGTACGGCTTACATTACGCCTTGTTGGACGGAAGACAAGCTCCCTCGATATCGCGCGACGCTTTGGCTAACCGGGTCTAACATTGTTGGACTTTCTTCGACTCAACATGCACGCCAAGGTGCGGTCAACGAGGTCTGTAGACGAGCCTTGTCGTTTACGTCGAGAGCAGCAGTCGCCTATAATGAAGAAGGTAGTGTCACAATTGATGTTCGGCGGGTTATTGATGACAGATTGCGCGTTGGGATGCGAGCTGATGTAGCAGCATCAGGGCGATTTGACCACCGGTGGCTGGCATACGCCACGCTTAAGGATATGTCGTGGCTCAGAGATCGACAGGGTAAGGCATCAGCTTGAACGGGGCCGACTTTGCGCGAAACTTGAATTACCTTGGCGAGACAATGACGTGGACGACCCTGCAGAGTGGCATGGTCTTGTTCTCTCCTACGCGTGACATGGCGTCCCAGTCTATGGCAAAGCGACGGCATTTTGGGTCCTTCTGCCTCGCGCTGCTTTACAATTTCTCGTCACTGATATATCGACCACTGGAGCCTGGGTCTGTGATTGCATACTCTACAAAGGTGCACCAGTTCCATGACTGGCTTCTAACTGGTGACGGTAAGTCGCTCAGACATTTCGATACGGGCATGGAATGTGGAGTGCAACCGATCGCGTCGATGGCGGCATGCGATATAGCCGCGTCAACAGCTAGTAAGTCTCCTGTTCACTTTGGAGCGCATCCGGCGCTTACTCGCGTTGTCCACATGTGGGCTGGACGACGAAGGTGGCGGCCGCAGCGACGTAAACTGAAACAGATTATCACCCGGCGGCGCCGTGCTGTAGGGACTAGACTTCTTGATGAACGTGTGGCAACGACGGACTTTCACGTGATCTCGGAAGGTACAACATTGATTACTTGGAGGGACATTCGACGAATACGAGCGTCCTTTCCGACAAACGCTCAGACGCTGTATAGGCTAAAGAGTAACAGTTTTCCGCTCTGGAATTGGGCGAAGCAAGATCCGTCTTGCCCGGTCCCTGAGTGTGCGAATGCTGGTCCAGCTCTGGCAAGCCATATCTTTTGGACATGCTCTAGTGCGCGTCGTCACTGGGAGTTTCTCCTTGATCGGTGGCGATGGCTTGGAACTTTCCAGGAGGCTGAATTGAATGTTTGGGTGTTTGGCCTGGACCTCCCGGCGATTCCACCCTACGCCTGGGATGTAATTAAGCAATCCATGGACCCAGGCACTAATTTATCAAAAGCTCAGGCTGCTATATTTCCGGCAGCTAGAGAGATGTGGCGTTTTGTCGTATCAACGACCCTTCATGCAATCTGGGTCGAGCGCCTCCGCCGCATGGAAGACTCGTCGTTATCACAGGAGGTGCACATAGCCAGCGCCAAGACGAGCTTTCGTCGGTCGGTCAGACGGTTTCGGCGATCAACCTATCAGCCCGAGATGGGGGAAGATGGGCAACTTTTTGCGCAGGTACGGTCGGCCTTGGCTGATACCCTACTCTGCTACGATGAACCTCCTTCGTTACTAGTCCGGCCTATCGACCGGCTCCCTGGCGAGCTTTACCTCCTCTTCTTTGACGACGGATCCCGCGGAAATCCAGGTCCAGGTGGAGCCGGGTCTGTGATTGTACGACTACACGTTCCGACTCACGCCGCATGCGTTCTGTGGGTATCAAGTATGGCTTATGCATCTGCCGATACCACTAACAATGTCGCTGAATATTGGGGGCTCGTGCATGGTCTTCGGCAAGCAAAGACAGGCGACTACTCACCCCTGCACGTCATTGGGGGCAGTGCGCTTGTACTTTCTCAAATCCGAACACAACACCCTCCACGCAAGCCGCACTTGGTGCGTTTATTCAACGAAGCACGTGCCATCGCTAACGATATTGATATCGCCAGCTGGGGACATCAATACCGCACCTTCAACAAAATGGCGGATCGACTGGCAAATATCGCTATGGACACGGGATCTTCTATTCAAACGCACGCTATCTCGAACCCAGGTCTGGTCCAGGAGGCTTCAAACTTCCTTGACACTGATGTCAATCATTGGTTGGAGACCTCTCAAGCAGACCATCAACTCGTCATACAGGGCCCCGGGCTGACCTCGAGGAACCTGATTATCTCGAGACAGGAGTCTGCGCGTAGGCGCTCTGCTGTGCGAGGACTAGCGCTACCTAGTATATAAAGTAGCGGTCGATTAGGTAACTTTGTTGCCGGATGACAGGATATAGCAGGTTGTGCGCGTACCTAAATATACCTCACCTTCTCACTCACTGTCACGACCAATGTCTTTGTATCTGCATGTTCACATCGACACGAACATGTCGACTCGTTCCGACGGACACGTTTTCTCTTCGCGCGAGTAGCATGCTCCGTCCAGTCTCTCCTTCTCTATGTCATCGATTGCCGAAAAGTGTCAATGTCCATCTCAAACAAACGCACTGGTATTCATACCACTTGCACAAACTGTCATCGCAAGGGCCCTCCTTGCATTCATTGTCGAGCCATCAAACATAGACGACGTCCACACACAACTCAGCCGCCACCTGGTTTGGTCACCACGTCGATGTTGATGTCGACGGACACAACGCAGTCATCGACGTCGGTCACCAACATTGACCACCAGCCAGAGATACACACACCTCCACCGTTCTACTTATGGACCTCCACCGTTCTACTTATGGTTGTCTTCTAGCAGGTACCACCGATTCATGAGCGACGGAACCGGACTACCACCCTCCGCGACCTTCTTCGACGACCATCAACCGTCCATCATGTCGACAAAACAACAGTGGAATTCAAACCTCGCTCGAAGTTCTATTCCACGCTCGTGACTGGAAACGCGATCGAGACGCGCCGACTTTTCAACCATCTACTCGATTTGCAATCAATCAACTCAAGCAATTGAAGCAGTCACCATGACGCTACGTGACGAGTCACTCGTCGCAACACCAGCCCACTCGCTAGCTCGTACATCGATCGCACTCACAAACCAACTGGCACTACCACACCAACACCTAGCGAGCAAGTACCCGATCGACCGACCAAATCGACCATGAAGTGCACTGCTCTCGCCGTCACCGCGCTAGTTGCAGTAGCAAGCGTCGCCTCAGCTACTGACTACCAGCCGGCGCTCCGAGCCCTTGCTGCATTGGAACCAGCTACACCCAGCACTGACACGATGGCAGCGGGTCCTACCGAGCGACATTCGCATCGTGTTGAGGCTGCTGCTGATGTAGCTGCGGAAAACGAGTCTACTGCCGTCATCGGTGCGGAAGGCAAGAAGTCCAAGGAGTGGTGGGGAGGCTTGGGATGGGGACGTCCCTGGGGTGGCTTTGGGGGATGGGGTGGCTACGGTGGTGGATGGGGAGGATACGGTGGCGGATGGGGATGGTAGACCTCACACATACTGGACATTGCGCCGACTGACATGCTATAGCGCATGCAGACGGGCTCACGAACGAGACGACACGGAAGCCGAGCAAGAAGAAAAATCTGCGTGCACCGCCGGACTCGCTCTTGTTTGTGAGGCTGTTTGTCGCTATTTTTCGTCACCACTTGGTTCAGCATGTCAACCTGTCGACGGAAGGATCGACCACCTGTACTTTCGGTGCTGTAGGTTAGTTGGAGCTCGCCAATACAGATACTGTCGAGGCTTTGCAGCCAGTTGTCAGTCAGCCACCTCGCTAAGATCAACACGTTCTTCCAGCAGCACGTTCAGATCAGATCATCTTGTCACGACCAATGTCTTTGTATCTGCATGTTCACATCGACACGAACATGTCGACTAGTTCCGACGGACACGTTTTCTCTTCGCGCGAGTAGCATGCTCCGTCCAGTCTCTCCTTCTATGTCATCGATTGCCGAAAAGTGTCAATGTCCATCTCAAACAAACGCACTGGTATTCATACCACTTGCACAAACTGTCATCGCAAGGGCCCTCCTTGCATTCATTGTCGAGCCACCAAACATAGACGACGTCCACACACAACTCAGCCGCCACCTGGTTTGGTCACCACGTCGATGTTGATGTCGACGGACACAACGCAGTCATCGACGTCGGTCACCAACATTGATCACCAGCCAGAGATACACACGCCTCCACCGTTCTACTTATGGACCTCCACCGTTCTACTTATGGTTGTCTTCTAGCAGGTACCACCGATTCATGAGCGACGGAACCGGACTACCACCCTCCGCGACCTTCTTCGACGACCATCAACCGTCCATCATGTCGACAAAACAACAGTGGAATTCAAACCTCGCTCGAAGTTCTATTCCACGCTCGTGACTGGAAACGCGATCGAGACGCGCCGACTTTTCAACCATCTACTCGATTTGCAATCAATCAACTCAATCAATTGAAGCAGTCACCATGACGCTACGTGACGAGTCACTGATCGCAACACCAGCCCACTTGCTAGCTCGTACATCGATCGCACTCACAAACCAACTGGCACTACCACACCAACACCTAGTGAGCAAGTACTCGACCAAATCGACCATGAAGTGCACTGCTCTTGCCGTCACCGCGCTAGTTGCAGTAGCAAGCGTCGCCTCAGCTACTGACTACCAGCCGGCGCTCCGAGCCCTTGCTGCATTGGAACCAGCTACACCCAGCACTGACACGATGGCAGCGGGTCCTACCGAGCGACATTCGCATCGTGTTGAGGCTGCTGCTGATGTAGCTGCGGAAAACGAGTCTACTGCCGTCATCGGTGCGGAAGGCAAGAAGTCCAAGGAGTGGTGGGGAGGCTTGGGATGGGGACGTCCCTGGGGGTGGCTTTGGGGGATGGGGTGGCTACGGTGGTGGATGGGGAGGATACGGTGGCGGATGGGGATGGTAGACCTCACACATACTGGACATTGCGCCGACTGACATGCTATAGCGCATGCAGACGGGCTCACGAACGAGACGACACGGAAGCCGAGCAAGAAGAAAAATCTGCGTGCACCGCCGGACTCGCTCTTGTTTGTGAGGCTGTTTGTCGCTATTTTTCGTCACCACTTGGTTCAGCATGTCAACCTGTCGACGGAAGGATCGACCACCTGTACTTTCGGTGCTGTAGGTTAGTTAAAGCTCGCCAATATAGATACTGTCGAGGCTTTGCAGCCAGTTGTCAGTCAGCCACCTCGCTAAGATCAACACGTTCTTCCAGCAGCACGTTCAGATCAGATCATCTTGTCACAACCAATGTCTTTGTATCTGCATGTTCACATCGACACGAACATGTCGACTAGTTCCGACGGACACGTTTTCTCTTCGCGCGAGTAGCATGCTCCGTCCAGTCTCTCCTTCTATGTCATCGATTGCCGAAAAGTGTCAATGTCCATCTCAAACAAACGCACTGGTATTCATACCACTTGCACAAACTGTCATCGCAAGGGCCCTCCTTGCATTCATTGTCGAGCCACCAAACATAGACGACGTCCACACACAACTCAGCCGCCACCTGGTTTGGTCACCACGTCGACGTTGATGTCGACGGACACAACGCAGTCATCGACGTCGGTCACCAACATTGATCACCAGCCAGAGATACACACGCCTCCACCGTTCTACTTATGGACCTCCACCGTTCTACTTATGGTTGTCTTCTAGTAGGTACCACCGATCCATGAGCGACGGAACCGGACTACCACCCTCCGCGACCTTCTTCGACGACCGTCAACCGTCCATCATGTCGACAAAACTACTGTGGAATTCAAACCTCGCTCGAAGTTCTATTCCACGCTCGTGACTGGAAACGCGATCGAGACGCGCCGACTTTTCAACCATCTACTCGATTTGCAATCAATCAACTCAAGCAATTGAAGCAGTCACCATGACGCTACGTGACGAGTCACTCGTCGCAACACCAGCCCACTCGCTAGCTCGTACATCGATCGCACTCACAAACCAACTGGCACTACCACACCAACACCTAGCGAGCAAGTACTCGATCGACCGACCAAATCGACCATGAAGTGCACTGCTCTTGCCGTCACCGCGCTAGTTGCAGTAGCAAGCGTCGCCTCAGCTACTGACTACCAGCCGGCGCTCCGAGCCCTTGCTGCATTGGAACCAGCTACACCCAGCACTGACACGATGGCAGCGGGTCCTACCGAGCGACATTCGCATCGTGTTGAGGCTGCTGCTGATGTAGCTGCGGAAAACGAGTCTACTGCCGTCATCGGTGCGGAAGGCAAGAAGTCCAAGGAGTGGTGGGGAGGCTTGGGATGGGGACGTCCCTGGGGTGGCTTTGGGGGATGGGGTGGCTACGGTGGTGGATGGGGAGGATACGGTGGCGGATGGGGATGGTAGACCTCACACATACTGGACATTGCGCCGACTGACATGCTATAGCGCATGCAGACGGGCTCACGAACGAGACGACACGGAAGCCGAGCAAGAAGAAAAATCTGCGTGCACCGCCGGACTCGCTCTTGTTTGTGAGGCTGTTTGTCGCTATTTTTCGTCACCACTTGGTTCAGCATGTCAACCTGTCGACGGAAGGATCGACCACCTGTACTTTCGGTGCTGTAGGTTAGTTGGAGCTCGCCAATATAGATACTGTCGAGGCTTTGCAGCCAGTTGTCAGTCAGCCACCTCGCTAAGATCAACACGTTCTTCCAGCAGCACGTTCAGATCAGATCATCTTGTCACAACCAATGTCTTTGTATCTGCATGTTCACATCGACACGAACATGTCGACTCGTTCCGACGGACACGTTTTCTCTTCGCGCGAGTAGCATGCTCCGTCCAGTCTCTCCTTCTATGTCATCGATTGCCGAAAAGTGTCAATGTCCATCTCAAACAAACGCACTGGTATTCATACCACTTGCACAAACTGTCATCGCAAGGGCCCTCCTTGCATTCATTGTCGAGCCACCAAACATAGACGACGTCCACACACAACTCAGCCGCCACCTGGTTTGGTCACCACGTCGACGTTGATGTCGACGGACACAACGCAGTCATCGACGTCGGTCACCAACATTGATCACCAGCCAGAGATACACACGCCTCCACCGTTCTACTTATGGACCTCCACCGTTCTACTTATGGTTGTCTTCTAGTAGGTACCACCGATCCATGAGCGACGGAACCGGACTACCACCCTCCGCGACCTTCTTCGACGACCATCAACCGTCCATCATGTCGACAAAACTACTGTGGAATTCAAACCTCGCTCGAAGTTCTATTCCACGCTCGTGACTGGAAACGCGATCGAGACGCGCCGACTTTTCAACCATCTACTCGATTTGCAATCAATCAACTCAAGCAATTGAAGCAGTCACCATGACGCTACGTGACGAGTCACTCGTCGCAACACCAGCCCACTCGCTAGCTCGTACATCGATCGCACTCACAAACCAACTGGCACTACCACACCAACACCTAGCGAGCAAGTACTCGATCGACCGACCAAATCGACCATGAAGTGCACTGCTCTCGCCGTCACCGCGCTAGTTGCTGTAGCAAGCGTCGCCTCAGCTACTGACTACCAGCCGGCGCTCCGAGCCCTTGCTGCATTGGAACCAGCTACACCCAGCACTGACACGATGGCAGCGGGTCCTACCGAGCGACATTCGCATCGTGTTGAGGCTGCTGCTGATGTAGCTGCGGAAAACGAGTCTACTGCCGTCATCGGTGCGGAAGGCAAGAAGTCCAAGGAGTGGTGGGGAGGCTTGGGATGGGGACGTCCCTGGGGTGGCTTTGGGGGATGGGGTGGCTACGGTGGTGGATGGGGAGGATACGGTGGCGGATGGGGATGGTAGACCTCACACATACTGGACATTGCGCCGACTGACATGCTATAGCGCATGCAGACGGGCTCACGAACGAGACGACACGGAAGCCGAGCAAGAAGAAAAATCTGCGTGCACCGCCGGACTCGCTCTTGTTTGTGAGGCTGTTTGTCGCTATTTTTCGTCACCACTTGGTTCAGCATGTCAACCTGTCGACGGAAGGATCGACCACCTGTACTTTCGGTGCTGTAGGTTAGTTGGAGCTCGCCAATACAGATACTGTCGAGGCTTTGCAGCCAGTTGTCAGTCAGCCACCTCGCTAAGATCAACACGTTCTTCCAGCAGCACGTTCAGATCAGATCATCTTGTCACGACCAATGTCTTTGTATCTGCATGTTCACATCGACACGAACATGTCGACTAGTTCCGACGGACACGTTTTCTCTTCGCGCGAGTAGCATGCTCCGTCCAGTCTCTCCTTCTATGTCATCGATTGCCGAAAAGTGTCAATGTCCATCTCAAACAAACGCACTGGTATTCATACCACTTGCACAAACTGTCATCGCAAGGGCCCTCCTTGCATTCATTGTCGAGCCACCAAACATAGACGACGTCCACACACAACTCAGCCGCCACCTGGTTTGGTCACCACGTCGATGTTGATGTCGACGGACACAACGCAGTCATCGACGTCGGTCACCAACATTGATCACCAGCCAGAGATACACACGCCTCCACCGTTCTACTTATGGACCTCCACCGTTCTACTTATGGTTGTCTTCTAGCAGGTACCACCGATTCATGAGCGACGGAACCGGACTACCACCCTCCGCGACCTTCTTCGACGACCATCAACCGTCCATCATGTCGACAAAACAACAGTGGAATTCAAACCTCGCTCGAAGTTCTATTCCACGCTCGTGACTGGAAACGCGATCGAGACGCGCCGACTTTTCAACCATCTACTCGATTTGCAATCAATCAACTCAATCAATTGAAGCAGTCACCATGACGCTACGTGACGAGTCACTGATCGCAACACCAGCCCACTTGCTAGCTCGTACATCGATCGCACTCACAAACCAACTGGCACTACCACACCAACACCTAGTGAGCAAGTACTCCGACCAAATCGACCATGAAGTGCACTGCTCTTGCCGTCACCGCGCTAGTTGCAGTAGCAAGCGTCGCCTCAGCTACTGACTACCAGCCGGCGCTCCGAGCCCTTGCTGCATTGGAACCAGCTACACCCAGCACTGACACGATGGCAGCGGGTCCTACCGAGCGACATTCGCATCGTGTTGAGGCTGCTGCTGATGTAGCTGCGGAAAACGAGTCTACTGCCGTCATCGGTGCGGAAGGCAAGAAGTCCAAGGAGTGGTGGGGAGGCTTGGGATGGGGACGTCCCTGGGGTGGCTTTGGGGGATGGGGTGGCTACGGTGGTGGATGGGGAGGATACGGTGGCGGATGGGGATGGTAGACCTCACACATACTGGACATTGCGCCGACTGACATGCTATAGCGCATGCAGACGGGCTCACGAACGAGACGACACGGAAGCCGAGCAAGAAGAAAAATCTGCGTGCACCGCCGGACTCGCTCTTGTTTGTGAGGCTGTTTGTCGCTATTTTTCGTCACCACTTGGTTCAGCATGTCAACCTGTCGACGGAAGGATCGACCACCTGTACTTTCGGTGCTGTAGGTTAGTTAAAGCTCGCCAATATAGATACTGTCGAGGCTTTGCAGCCAGTTGTCAGTCAGCCACCTCGCTAAGATCAACACGTTCTTCCAGCAGCACGTTCAGATCAGATCATCTTGTCACGACCAATGTCTTTGTATCTGCATGTTCACATCGACACGAACATGTCGACTCGTTCCGACGGACACGTTTTCTCTTCGCGCGAGTAGCATGCTCCGTCCAGTCTCTCCTCTCTATGTCATCGATTGCCGAAAAGTGTCAATGTCCATCTCAAACAAACGCACTGGTATTCATACCACTTGCACAAACTGTCATCGCAAGGGCCCTCCTTGCATTCATTGTCGAGCCACCAAACATAGACGACGTCCACACACAACTCAGCCGCCACCTGGTTTGGTCACCACGTCGACGTTGATGTCGACGGACACAACGCAGTCATCGACGTCGGTCACCAACATTGATCACCAGCCAGAGATACACACGCCTCCACCGTTCTACTTATGGACCTCCACCGTTCTACTTATGGTTGTCTTCTAGCAGGTACCACCGATTCATGAGCGACGGAACCGGACTACCACCCTCCGCGACCTTCTTCGACGACCATCAACCGTCCATCATGTCGACAAAACTACTGTGGAATTCAAACCTCGCTCGAAGTTCTATTCCACGCTCGTGACTGGAAACGCGATCGAGACGCGCCGACTTTTCAACCATCTACTCGATTTGCAATCAATCAACTCAAGCAATTGAAGCAGTCACCATGACGCTACGTGACGAGTCACTCGTCGCAACACCAGCCCACTCGCTAGCTCGTACATCGATCGCACTCACAAACCAACTGGCACTACCACACCAACACCTAGCGAGCAAGTACTCGATCGACCGACCAAATCGACCATGAAGTGCACTGCTCTCGCCGTCACCGCGCTAGTTGCTGTAGCAAGCGTCGCCTCAGCTACTGACTACCAGCCGGCGCTCCGAGCCCTTGCTGCATTGGAACCAGCTACACCCAGCACTGACACGATGGCAGCGGGTCCTACCGAGCGACATTCGCATCCTGTTGAGGCTGCTGCTGATGTAGCTGCGGAAAACGAGTCTACTGCCGTCATCGGTGCGGAAGGCAAGAAGTCCAAGGAGTGGTGGGGAGGCTTGGGATGGGGACGTCCCTGGGGTGGCTTTGGGGGATGGGGTGGCTACGGTGGTGGATGGGGAGGATACGGTGGCGGATGGGGATGGTAGACCTCACACATACTGGACATTGCGCCGACTGACATGCTATAGCGCATGCAGACGGGCTCACGAACGAGACGACACGGAAGCCGAGCAAGAAGAAAAATCTGCGTGCACCGCCGGACTCGCTCTTGTTTGTGAGGCTGTTTGTCGCTATTTTTCGTCACCACTTGGTTCAGCATGTCAACCTGTCGACGGAAGGATCGACCACCTGTACTTTCGGTGCTGTAGGTTAGTTAAAGCTCGCCAATATAGATACTGTCGAGGCTTTGCAGCCAGTTGTCAGTCAGCCACCTCGCTAAGATCAACACGTTCTTCCAGCAGCACGTTCAGATCAGATCATCTTGTCACGACCAATGTCTTTGTATCTGCATGTTCACATCGACACGAACATGTCGACTCGTTCCGACGGACACGTTTTCTCTTCGCGCGAGTAGCATGCTCCGTCCAGTCTCTCCTTCTCTATGTCATCGATTGCCGAAAAGTGTCAATGTCCATCTCAAACAAACGCACTGGTATTCATACCACTTGCACAAACTGTCATCGCAAGGGCCCTCCTTGCATTCATTGTCGAGCCACCAAACATAGACGACGTCCACACACAACTCAGCAGCCACCTGGTTTGGTCACCACGTCGACGTTGATGTCGACGGACACAACGCAGTCATCGACGTCGGTCACCAACATTGACCACCAGCCAGAGATACACACGCCTCCACCGTTCTACTTATGGACCTCCACCGTTCTACTTATGGTTGTCTTCTAGTAGGTACCACCGATCCATGAGCGACGGAACCGGACTACCACCCTCCGCGACCTTCTTCGACGACCGTCAACCGTCCATCATGTCGACAAAACTACTGTGGAATTCAAACCTCGCTCGAAGTTCTATTCCACGCTCGTGACTGGAAACGCGATCGAGACGCGCCGACTTTTCAACCATCTACTCGATTTGCAATCAATCAACTCAAGCAATTGAAGCAGTCACCATGACGCTACGTGACGAGTCACTCGTCGCAACACCAGCCCACTCGCTAGCTCGTACATCGATCGCACTCACAAACCAACTGGCACTACCACACCAACACCTAGCGAGCAAGTACTCGATCGACCGACCAAATCGACCATGAAGTGCACTGCTCTCGCCGTCACCGCGCTAGTTGCTGTAGCAAGCGTCGCCTCAGCTACTGACTACCAGCCGGCGCTCCGAGCCCTTGCTGCATTGGAACCAGCTACACCCAGCACTGACACGATGGCAGCGGGTCCTACCGAGCGACATTCGCATCGTGTTGAGGCTGCTGCTGATGTAGCTGCGGAAAACGAGTCTACTGCCGTCATCGGTGCGGAAGGCAAGAAGTCCAAGGAGTGGTGGGGAGGCTTGGGATGGGGACGTCCCTGGGGTGGCTTTGGGGGATGGGGTGGCTACGGTGGTGGATGGGGGAGGATACGGTGGCGGATGGGGATGGTAGACCTCACACATACTGGACATTGCGCCGACTGACATGCTATAGCGCATGCAGACGGGCTCACGAACGAGACGACACGGAAGCCGAGCAAGAAGAAAAATCTGCGTGCACCGCCGGACTCGCTCTTGTTTGTGAGGCTGTTTGTCGCTATTTTTCGTCACCACTTGGTTCAGCATGTCAACCTGTCGACGGAAGGATCGACCACCTGTACTTTCGGTGCTGTAGGTTAGTTGGAGCTCGCCAATACAGATACTGTCGAGGCTTTGCAGCCAGTTGTCAGTCAGCCACCTCGCTAAGATCAACACGTTCTTCCAGCAGCACGTTCAGATCAGATCATCTTGTCACGACCAATGTCTTTGTATCTGCATGTTCACATCGACACGAACATGTCGACTCGTTCCGACGGACACGTTTTCTCTTCGCGCGAGTAGCATGCTCCGTCCAGTCTCTCCTTCTATGTCATCGATTGCCGAAAAGTGTCAATGTCCATCTCAAACAAACGCACTGGTATTCATACCACTTGCACAAACTGTCATCGCAAGGGCCCTCCTTGCATTCATTGTCGAGCCACCAAACATAGACGACGTCCACACACAACTCAGCCGCCACCTGGTTTGGTCACCACGTCGATGTTGATGTCGACGGACACAACGCAGTCATCGACGTCGGTCACCAACATTGATCACCAGCCAGAGATACACACGCCTCCACCGTTCTACTTATGGACCTCCACCGTTCTACTTATGGTTGTCTTCTAGCAGGTACCACCGATTCATGAGCGACGGAACCGGACTACCACCCTCCGCGACCTTCTTCGACGACCATCAACCGTCCATCATGTCGACAAAACTACTGTGGAATTCAAACCTCGCTCGAAGTTCTATTCCACGCTCGTGACTGGAAACGCGATCGAGACGCGCCGACTTTTCAACCATCTACTCGATTTGCAATCAATCAACTCAAGCAATTGAAGCAGTCACCATGACGCTACGTGACGAGTCACTCGTCGCAACACCAGCCCACTCGCTAGCTCGTACATCGATCGCACTCATAAACCAACTGGCACTACCACACCAACACCTAGCGAGCAAGTACTCGATCGACCGACCAAATCGACCATGAAGTGCACTGCTCTTGCCGTCACCGCGCTAGTTGCTGTAGCAAGCGTCGCCTCAGCTACTGACTACCAGCCGGCGCTCCGAGCCCTTGCTGCATTGGAACCAGCTACACCCAGCACTGACACGATGGCAGCGGGTCCTACCGAGCGACATTCGCATCCTGTTGAGGCTGCTGCTGATGTAGCTGCGGAAAACGAGTCTACTGCCGTCATCGGTGCGGAAGGCAAGAAGTCCAAGGAGTGGTGGGGAGGCTTGGGATGGGGACGTCCCTGGGGTGGCTTTGGGGGATGGGGTGGCTACGGTGGTGGATGGGGAGGATACGGTGGCGGATGGGGATGGTAGACCTCACACATGCTGGACATCGCGCCGACTGACATGCTGCGGCGCATGCAGACGGGCTCACGAACAAGACGACACGGAAGCCGAGCAAGAAGAAAAATCTGCGTGCACCGCCGGACTCGCTCTTGTTTGTGAGGCTGTTTGTCGCTATTTTTCGTCACCACTTGGTTCAGCATGTCAACCTGTCGACGGAAGGATCGACCACCTGTACTTTCGGTGCTGTAGGTTAGTTAAAGCTCGCCAATATAGATACTGTCGAGGCTTTGCAGCCAGTTGTCAGTCAGCCACCTCGCTAAGATCAACACGTTCTTCCAGCAGCACGTTCAGATCAGATCATCTTGTCACGACCAATGTCTTTGTATCTGCATGTTCACATCGACACGAACATGTCGACTCGTTCCGACGGACACGTTTTCTCTTCGCGCGAGTAGCATGCTCCGTCCAGTCTCTCCTTCTCTATGTCATCGATTGCCGAAAAGTGTCAATGTCCATCTCAAACAAACGCACTGGTATTCATACCACTTGCACAAACTGTCATCGCAAGGGCCCTCCTTGCATTCATTGTCGAGCCACCAAACATAGACGACGTCCACACACAACTCAGCAGCCACCTGGTTTGGTCACCACGTCGACGTTGATGTCGACGGACACAACGCAGTCATCGACGTCGGTCACCAACATTGACCACCAGCCAGAGATACACACACCTCCACCGTTCTACTTATGGACCTCCACCGTTCTACTTATGGTTGTCTTCTAGCAGGTACCACCGATCCATGAGCGACGGAACCGGACTACCACCCTCCGCGACCTTCTTCGACGACCGTCAACCGTCCATCATGTCGACAAAACTACTGTGGAATTCAAACCTCGCTCGAAGTTCTATTCCACGCTCGTGACTGGAAACGCGATCGAGACGCGCCGACTTTTCAACCATCTACTCGATTTGCAATCAATCAACTCAAGCAATTGAAGCAGTCACCATGACGCTACGTGACGAGTCACTCGTCGCAACACCAGCCCACTCGCTAGCTCGTACATCGATCGCACTCACAAACCAACTGGCACTACCACACCAACACCTAGCGAGCAAGTACTCGACCAACCGACCAAATCGACCATGAAGTGCACTGCTCTCGCCGTCACCGCGCTAGTTGCTGTAGCAAGCGTCGCCTCAGCTACTGACTACCAGCCGGCGCTCCGAGCCCTTGCTGCATTGGAACCAGCTACACCCAGCACTGACACGATGGCAGCGGGTCCTACCGAGCGACATTCGCATCCTGTTGAGGCTGCTGCTGATGTAGCTGCGGAAAACGAGCCTACTGCCGTCATCGGTGCGGAAGGCAAGAAGTCCAAGGAGTGGTGGGGAGGCTTGGGATGGGGACGTCCCTGGGGTGGCTTTGGGGGATGGGGTGGCTACGGTGGTGGATGGGGAGGATACGGTGGCGGATGGGGATGGTAGACCTCACACATGCTGGACATCGCGCCGACTGACATGCTGCAGCGCATGCAGACGGGCTCACGAACGAGACGACACGGAAGCCGAGCAAGAAGAAAAATCTGCGTGCACCGCCGGACTCGCTCTTGTTTGTGAGGCTGTTTGTCGCTACTTTTCGTCACCACTTGGTTCAGCATGTCAATCTGTTGACGGAAGAATCGACCACCTGTACTTTCGGTGCTGTAGGTTAGTTAAAGCTCGCCAATATAGATACTGTCGAGGCTTTGCAGCCAGTTGTCAGCCAGCCACCTCGCTAAGATCAACACGTTCTTCCAGCAGCACGTTCAGATCAGATCATCTTGTCACGACCAATGTCTTTGTATCTGCATGTTCACATCGACACGAACATGTCGACTCGTTCCGACGGACACGTTTTCTCTTCGCGCGAGTAGCATGCTCCGTCCAGTCTCTCCTTCTCTATGTCATCGATTGCCGAAAAGTGTCAATGTCCATCTCAAACAAACGCACTGGTATTCATACCACTTGCACAAACTGTCATCGCAAGGGCCCTCCTTGCATTCATTGTCGAGCCACCAAACGTAGACGACGTCCACACACAACTCAGCAGCCACCTGGTTTGGTCACCACGTCGATGTTGATGTCGACGGACACAACGCAGTCATCGACGTCGGTCACCAACATTGATCACCAGCCAGAGATACACACGCCTCCACCGTTCTACTTATGGACCTCCACCGTTCTACTTATGGTTGTCTTCTAGCAGGTACCACCGATTCATGAGCGACGGAACCGGACTACCACCCTCCGCGACCTTCTTCGACGACCATCAACCGTCCATCATGTCGACAAAACTACTGTGGAATTCAAACCTCGCTCGAAGTTCTATTCCACGCTCGTGACTGGAAACGCGATCGAGACGCGCCGACTTTTCAACCATCTACTCGATTTGCAATCAATCAACTCAATCAATTGAAGCAGTCACCATGACGCTACGTGACGAGTCACTCGTCGCAACACCAGCCCACTCGCTAGCTCGTACATCGATCGCACTCACAAACCAACTGGCACTACCACACCAACACCTAGCGAGCAAGTACTCGATCGACCGACCAAATCGACCATGAAGTGCACTGCTCTTGCCGTCACCGCGCTAGTTGCTGTAGCAAGCGTCGCCTCAGCTACTGACTACCAGCCGGCGCTCCGAGCCCTTGCTGCATTGGAACCAGCTACACCCAGCACTGACACGATGGCAGCGGGTCCTACCGAGCGACATTCGCATCCTGTTGAGGCTGCTGCTGATGTAGCTGCGGAAAACGAGCCTACTGCCGTCATCGGTGCGGAAGGCAAGAAGTCCAAGGAGTGGTGGGGAGGCTTGGGATGGGGACGTCCCTGGGGTGGCTTTGGGGGATGGGGTGGCTACGGTGGTGGATGGGGAGGATACGGTGGCGGATGGGGATGGTAGACCTCACACATACTGGACATCGCGCCGACTGACATGCTGCGGCGCATGCAGACGGGCTCACGAACAAGACGACACGGAAGCCGAGCAAGAAGAAAAATCTGCGTGCACCGCCGGACTCGCTCTTGTTTGTGAGGCTGTTTGTCGCTACTTTTCGTCATCACTTGGTTCAGCATGTCAACCTGTCGACGGAAGGATCGACCACCTGTACTTTCGGTGCTGTAGGTTAGTTAAAGCTCGCCAATATAGATACTGTCGAGGCTTTGCAGCCAGTTGTCAGTCAGCCACCTCGCTAAGATCAACACGTTCTTCCAGCAGCACGTTCAGATCAGATCATCTTGTCACGACCAATGTCTTTGTATCTGCATGTTCACATCGACACGAACATGTCGACTCGTTCAGACGGACACGTTTTCTCTTCGCGCGAGTAGCATGCTCCGTCCAGTCTCTCTTTCTCTATGTCATCGATTGCCGAAAAGTGTCAATGTCCATCTCAAACAAACGCACTGGTATTCGTACCACTTGCACAAACTGTCATCGCAAGGGCCCTCCTTGCATTCATTGTCGAGCCACCAAACGTAGACGACGTCCACACACAACTCAGCAGCCACCTGGTTTGGTCACCACGTCGACGTTGATGTCGACGGACACAACGCAGTCATCGACGTCGGTCACCAACATTGACCACCAGCCAGAGATACACACACCTCCACCGTTCTACTTATGGACCTCCACCGTTCTACTTATGGTTGTCTTCTAGCAGGTACCACCGATCCATGAGCGACGGAACCGGACTACCACCCTCCGCGACCTTCTTCGACGACCGTCAACCGTCCATCATGTCGACAAAACTACTGTGGAATTCAAACCTCGCTCGAAGTTCTATTCCACGCTCGTGACTGGAAACGCGATCGAGACGCGCCGACTTTTCAACCATCTACTCGATTTGCAATCAATCAACTCAATCAATTGAAGCAGTCACCATGACGCTACGTGACGAGTCACTCGTCGCAACACCAGCCCACTCGCTAGCTCGTACATCGATCGCACTCACAAACCAACTGGCACTACCACACCAACACCTAGTGAGCAAGTACTCGACCAACCGACCAAATCGACCATGAAGTGCACTGCTCTTGCCGTCACCGCGCTAGTTGCTGTAGCAAGCGTCGCCTCAGCTACTGACTACCAGCCGGCGCTCCGAGCCCTTGCTGCATTGGAACCAGCTACACCCAGCACTGACACGATGGCAGCGGGTCCTACCGAGCGACATTCGCATCCTGTTGAGGCTGCTGCTGATGTAGCTGCGGAAAACGAGCCTACTGCCGTCATCGGTGCGGAAGGCAAGAAGTCCAAGGAGTGGTGGGGAGGCTTGGGATGGGGACGTCCCTGGGGTGGCTTTGGGGGATGGGGTGGCTACGGTGGTGGATGGGGGAGGATACGGTGGCGGATGGGGATGGTAGACCTCACACATACTGGACATTGCGCCGACTGACATGCTGCAGCGCATGCAGACGGGCTCACGAACGAGACGACACGGAAGCCGAGCAAGAAGAAAAAATCTGCGTGCACCGCCGGACTCGCTCTTGTTTGTGAGGCTGTTTGTCGCTACTTTTCGTCATCACTTGGCTCAGCATGTCAACCTGTCGACGGAAGGATCGACCACCTGTACTTTCGGTGCTGTAGGTTAGTTAAAGCTCGCCAATATAGATACTGTCGAGGCTTTGCAGCCAGTTGTCAGTCAGCCACCTCGCTAAGATCAACACGTTCTTCCAGCAGCACGTTCAGATCAGATCATCTTGTCACGACCAATGTCTTTGTATCTGCATGTTCACATCGACACGAACATGTCGACTCGTTCCGACGGACACGTTTTCTCTTCGCGCGAGTAGCATGCTCCGTCCAGTCTCTCCTTCTCTATGTCATCGATTGCCGAAAAGTGTCAATGTCCATCTCAAACAAACGCACTGGTATTCGTACCACTTGCACAAACTGTCATCGCAAGGGCCCTCCTTGCATTCATTGTCGAGCCACCAAACATAGACGACGTCCACACACAACTCAGCAGCCACCTGGTTTGGTCACCACGTCGATGTTGATGTCGACGGACACAACGCAGTCATCGACGTCGGTCACCAACATTGATCACCAGCCAGAGATACACACGCCTCCACCGTTCTACTTATGGACCTCCACCGTTCTACTTATGGTTGTCTTCTAGCAGGTACCACCGATTCATGAGCGACGGAACCGGACTACCACCCTCCGCGACCTTCTTCGACGACCATCAACCGTCCATCATGTCGACAAAACTACTGTGGAATTCAAACCTCGCTCGAAGTTCTATTCCACGCTCGTGACTGGAAACGCGATCGAGACGCGCCGACTTTTCAACCATCTACTCGATTTGCAATCAATCAACTCAATCAATTGAAGCAGTCACCATGACGCTACGTGACGAGTCACTCGTCGCAACACCAGCCCACTCGCTAGCTCGTACATCGATCGCACTCACAAACCAACTGGCACTACCACACCAACACCTAGCGAGCAAGTACTCGACCAACCGACCAAATCGACCATGAAGTGCACTGCTCTTGCCGTCACCGCGCTAGTTGCTGTAGCAAGCGTCGCCTCAGCTACTGACTACCAGCCGGCGCTCCGAGCCCTTGCTGCATTGGAACCAGCTACACCCAGCACTGACACGATGGCAGCGGGTCCTACCGAGCGACATTCGCATCCTGTTGAGGCTGCTGCTGATGTAGCTGCGGAAAACGAGCCTACTGCCGTCATCGGTGCGGAAGGCAAGAAGTCCAAGGAGTGGTGGGGAGGCTTGGGATGGGGACGTCCCTGGGGTGGCTTCGGGGGATGGGGTGGCTACGGTGGTGGATGGGGAGGATACGGTGGCGGATGGGGATGGTAGACCTCACACATGCTGGACATCGCGCCGACTGACATGCTGCAGCACATGCAGACGGGCTCACGAACGAGACGACACGGAAGCCGAGCAAGAAGAAAAATCTGCGTGCACCGCCGGACTCGCTCTTGTTTGTGAGGCTGCCTGTCGCTATTTTTCGTCACCACTTGGCTCAGCATGTCAACCTGTCGACGGAAGGATCGACCACCTGTACTTTCGGTGCTGTAGGTTAGTTAAAGCTCGCCAATATAGATACTGTCGAGGCTTTGCAGCCAGTTGTCAGCCAGCCACCTCGCTAAGATCAACACGTTCTTCCAGCAGCACGTTCAGATCAGATCATCTTGTCACGACCAATGTCTTTGTATCTGCATGTTCACATCGACACGAACATGTCGACTCGTTCCGACGGACACGTTTTCTCTTCGCGCGAGTAGCATGCTCCGTCCAGTCTCTCCTTCTCTATGTCATCGATTGCCGAAAAGTGTCAATGTCCATCTCAAACAAACGCACTGGTATTCATACCACTTGCACAAACTGTCATCGCAAGGGCCCTCCTTGCATTCATTGTCGAGCCACCAAACGTAGACGACGTCCACACACAACTCAGCAGCCACCTGGTTTGGTCACCACGTCGATGTTGATGTCGACGGACACAACGCAGTCATCGACGTCGGTCACCAACATTGATCACCAGCCAGAGATACACACACCTCCACCGTTCTACTTATGGACCTCCACCGTTCTACTTATGGTTGTCTTCTAGCAGGTACCACCGATTCATGAGCGACGGAACCGGACTACCACCCTCCGCGACCTTCTTCGACGACCATCAACCGTCCATCATGTCGACAAAACTACTGTGGAATTCAAACCTCGCTCGAAGTTCTATTCCACGCTCGTGACTGGAAACGCGATCGAGACGCGCCGACTTTTCAACCATCTACTCGATTTGCAATCAATCAACTCAATCAATTGAAGCAGTCACCATGACGCTACGTGACGAGTCACTCGTCGCAACACCAGCCCACTCGCTAGCTCGTACATCGATCGCACTCACAAACCAACTGGCACTACCACACCAACACCTAGTGAGCAAGTACTCGACCAACCGACCAAATCGACCATGAAGTGCACTGCTCTTGCCGTCACCGCGCTAGTTGCTGTAGCAAGCGTCGCCTCAGCTACTGACTACCAGCCGGCGCTCCGAGCCCTTGCTGCATTGGAACCAGCTACACCCAGCACTGACACGATGGCAGCGGGTCCTACCGAGCGACATTCGCATCCTGTTGAGGCTGCTGCTGATGTAGCTGCGGAAAACGAGCCTACTGCCGTCATCGGTGCGGAAGGCAAGAAGTCCAAGGAGTGGTGGGGAGGCTTGGGATGGGGACGTCCCTGGGGGTGGCTTCGGGGGATGGGGTGGCTACGGTGGTGGATGGGGAGGATACGGTGGCGGATGGGGATGGTAGACCTCACACATACTGGACATTGCGCCGACTGACATGCTGCAGCGCATGCAGACGGGCTCACGAACGAGACGACACGGAAGCCGAGCAAGAAGAAAAATCTGCGTGCACCGCCGGACTCGCTCTTGTTTGTGAGGCTGTTTGTCGCTACTTTTCGTCATCACTTGGTTCAGCATGTCAACCTGTCGACGGAAGGATCGACCACCTGTACTTTCGGTGCTGTAGGTTAGTTAAAGCTCGCCAATATAGATACTGTCGAGGCTTTGCAGCCAGTTGTCAGTCAGCCACCTCGCTAAGATCAACACGTTCTTCCAGCAGCACGTTCAGATTAGATCATCTTGTCACGACCAATGTCTTTGTATCTGCATGTTCACATCGACACAAACATGTCGACTCGTTCAGACGGACACGTTTTCTCTTCGCGCGAGTAGCATGCTCCGTCCAGTCTCTCTTTCTCTATGTCATCGATTGCCGAAAAGTGTCAACGTTCATCTCAAACAAACGCACTGGTATTCGTACCACTTGCACAAACTGTCATCGCAAGGGCC